CAGCATTAGGGTCTTTTTCAATAAGTCACCTTTTTGCATTAGGTGGCTGAAGTATCAGAGCCTCAGCTTCAGTATCAGTCCTTCTAATGAATATTCAGGGTTGATTTCCTTTAGGATTGACTGGTTTGATCTCCTTGCTGCCCAAGGGACTGTCAAGAGTCTTCTCTAGCACCACAGCTTGAAAGCATTAATTATTTGGTGCTCAGCCTTCTTTATGGTCCAGTTTTCACATCTGTACGTGACTACTAGGAAAACCATAGCTTTGACTATACAGACCTTTGTTGGAAAACTGATATCTCTGCTTTTTAATATGCTGTCTAGGTTTGTCATAGCTTTTCTTCCAAGGAGCAAGCGTCTTTAATTTCATGGCTGCAGTCATGAGTTACTTGCTTAATTTTAACTTTTAGCTTCTGCTTCTACTTGTTTCCTTGCACTGATATTATCATCCTGTACCTTGAGCTTCTACAGAACTGAGATCATATCTGTCCATGTGATTTTGATTTGTGAGCCATGTCACCCAGTTGTCCTGAGAACGCGTGGACTTTCATCAGGAGCACTGGGATTGCAGCATACGCACTATCCCTCAGTTTCCTCACGTTTCAGTGGCATGAGGGTTCATCTCTACCCAGCTCAGTTCAGTGTGGAACCACAGGCTGTTCGTGTAAAGAAGGGCCATCAGGTTGTGGCCAGGGAAGAAGACATGACACTTTGACCAGGCTGGCTGGTTCTCTTGGCAACTATAGCCATATGACATCTGTAACAGGCTGTGGTCTGTCTTTGCTCCTATCACTTATTGTTCAGATCAATATTGGTCTGAATATCCTTTAGATTAACTAAAATTAAAAGAAAGTGCTTGACTTAGAGAATAGGCTCTTATGGTTGCTTGGGGGAAGGATGGGGCAAAGAGATAGCCGGGGAGTTTGGGATGAACATGAACACATTGCTATATTTTAAATAGATGATGAAGAAGGACCTACTGTCGAGCACTGGGAACTCTGCTCAATGTTATGTGGCAGCCTGGGTTGGGGGTTGGGTACATGTATACATAGGGCTGAGTCCCTTTGATGTTCATCTGAAACTATCACTTGTTTTGTAATCAACCCAATACAAAAGTGTTTTTTTCTTTCTTTCTTTCTTTTTTTTTTAAGAAGCACTCTGTAACCACTTCTAGTGTGTGCCTATAGACAGACCTGAGCTATATCTCCATGCTGGTCTAGAGGTGACCCGCACCCCGGGAGCATTCAACACTCTCTCCCTCACACCCAACATCTATATGCAGGGAAATCCTCCTCCTTAGGGACGCTGAGGGCAACCTTGGCCGGAGAGCAAAAGGAAGAGACGTCATGAACCGGCAACAGGCTGCTCGAGGTGAGATGAAGGATGCGAAAGTGCTCTTGCCTGTAGTGGACCCGTGTTGCCATGGTGACGGAGGCGCTGACGCTAAGTGGATGAGCAGCAGCTCCCGTGGATTTTAATAGCAGCTGGTCAGTGCCAGCACCTTCGCTGAATTGCTGCCCCCCTGAGTCACTGCTTGGCCCTGGCTGTCCTGATCTCTGTTGACAAATGGTTGTCCTTCACAGTCAAACTACTAACAGTGCTCTAATTAATGAACGTGCTAATTATTCTTCCCTACTCCCAGCACATTTATCTAACTAACCTGTCACACGAGGATAAGTGCAGCGTCTGCATGAGCGCTGAGGGCACTGCGAACAGGGGTCCAGGGGGCAGAGGGGGTGGGCTTACAGCTGGGGAGTGGAGGGCTATTTTTTGTTAAATTACCTTAACTGAACGGTCAGGTGTCCAAGGAATACACTATTTCCTGCAAAATGTATACGATTTCCTTTCTTTTCTTTAAAAACACCATCTCTTTAGGGATTGAGCAGCTGTTGGTCACTTTACTAACCCCTGAAGGGGTTGCCAAATAGGGATGCAGAAGGGCCAGGAGCCCTGAGCTTTGAAGACTGTTCTTGAAGCAGCATTCAGGGCGGTTAGAACCTCAGGTGTTGGAGCTAGACAGGCCTGGCTTTGAGTCCCGGGTCTGTTCCTTCCTTCCTGTGGTTTAACCCCCCCTGCACTTCTGTCTTGTCTTTTGGGCAATGGGAGGGGTAGTTTGTCCCCAGAGGGGTGTTTTGAGGAGAAAATGCACAAGCTAGGTCCCCAGGACATGGCTACACAGTGCCTTGGGTCCTGGACTGGGTCTGGTCTGGTTTTGGCTGGGCCAGGGCGGGTTGTTGTCCCACCCTGGAGGCCTGGAGACTGTCCTGTTAAGAATCCGGAATCCGGCTCGCGCCCCCTCCCCACCCCATGCCCCTGGCACCCCTCCCTTTTTGTTCTGTCTCAGCAGCTCTCTATTGAGATGAATGGCATTTCCAGAGGCTTCACCTCTGATAAGTAAGTGCTCCTCTGCAGCTGCAGCCAGAATCCTAATGTGCAGCTGTAATTTAATGGCCATCTTGGCTGACTGTTCAAACGCTCTCTTCCCGGGTGAAGTGGACTCACCCCACTGGCACGTGTACCCCATCCAGGCAGGGTGACTCCAGGAGCTCAGATGTGGGGTTGGGGGGATCCCATCACGGGAACCTCCTTGCTGGTGCCTTCTCAGCTTTCTAAAGTGGGGCTGGCTTGGCATCCCCCGCCCTGACCCTGTTTGTGGGGCTCCTGAGGCTTGGGAAACCAGAGGCAGAGGCAGCTCCTTCCTGCATTCCTGGGGTCTGATGAGGTTTGCACAAGTGCCCTGGGAAGACCATGTAGGACTATGTTGATAGCATGTCTGTGTGCCTGCAGGTCTTGGCGCAAACTTACCCACCACAAACAGGAAGGAGATTAGAATAAGTCTTAAATACAGGAGACTATAGGATACAGAAACTTCTTTAAAGCTGACCATTTTAATGTGGGATTATGAGTCCTGAACAGTCTCAACAGGACAGTAGACATACCCAGTACTCCTCACCCCTCACTGACGCCTGTCTGTCTTTAGGGAACAGTTTCCCTCAACCACAGGAAACTGTGAGAACCCCCAGGTTCTCTCATTTATCTGCCAGCTGGTTGTCCCAGCAACCCCATGGACGGTAGCCTTCCAGGCTCCTCGGTCCATGGGATTTTCCAAGCAAGAATACTGGAGTGGGTTCACTGAGAAAAGTCAGTCCTTTACGGATGACAGAGCTGTAAGATATAAAACTCCAGAGGTGGAGGTGGAGATATTTTCCACTGTGTGGAGAAAACTGGTCTGCAGAGCGAAGAAGGCTGGTAAGGTATAAGAAAGTGGAGAGAGAGAGAGAGAGACTGAGACAGGAAACTTCATCTGAGAGGCCCAATCTCATCTCGGCTCATTTCAGCGCTGGGCTGTTCAGTTCCGTGGTGTCTTTGAAGTCAATAAAGACTTCCCTTTTGGCTCAAGCTAGCTAAAGCTGAGTTTCTATTGTTTGCAACAAGAGACGTTTTCAAGGGTCTGACCTTCACTTCTGATGCATTGTTACTAAAATAGGAGGAGTCTTAGAAGGGCCAACTTTATGGGGGCCAGACCCCTTGTTGGCTGGGACCCACGTGTTCCCTGAAATTTGCACATCAGATCCCATTGAGGTGAACACACGCCTCTTGCTGGTGCTGAGCCCCTAGACAATTATGTAGTGACTCCACATGGTGCAAAGTGTTCTAGGCGCTTGGTTCTTCGGAGCATTGTGAACTGGCTCAGGGCTGCCCTTGTTATTGGCCTCTGTGCATACAAGCTCCAGATGCCACCTCCAAGGACATCGTTCCTCCAGCCAGCTGCAGCCACTCAAATACAAGGCCTGTGTGATCTGTTCCCTGCACTGGCCTCTCCCTCACCAGGATGAAAACCCCACCACCACCAAGTAGAGTGGTTAGCATTTTCTGTCAAAGTGAGGTTTTGATAAACACTTCTCTTCAGCGCTGCCAAATAGATGTTGAATCTGGGATGAAGATCACAGAATCTTGCATGTTCTGTGTCACTTCTGAGTGGTTGCTGTTTACAGGGAGAAACCTCCTGTAAAATACCAGGCACTGCCTACTTCACTCAGCAGGTTCCCTCTTTTGCCTTTTCTCTACTCATCATTATGTGAAGAAGATTCCAGGAAAGCATCTCAGTAATGACCTCAGAGAAGCCAGCTGAGGTGTTGAGCAATCCTTCCTGTGTGGATGTTTTCCTTGGGAGTCACCTGTGACCCTCTTTCTGCTCCTTATTTTTATTTTTTTAAAAATAATTTTATTTGTTTACTTATTTTATTTTTAGCTGTGCTGGGTCTTCATTGCTGCTCAGGCTTTTCTCTAGTTGCAGCGAGCAGGGGCTACTCTCTAGTTGTGGTGTGCAGACATCTCATTGCCGTGGATTCTCTTATGGAACACAGATCTAGGGAGCATGGGCTCAGTAGTTGTGGCTAGTGGTCCCTAGACCACAAGCTCAGTAGCTGTGGTGCACGGGCTGTGTTGCTCCGTGGCATGTGGGATCTTCCCAGACCAGGGATCGAACCCATGTCTCCTGCATTGGCAGGCAGACTGTTTATCACTGAGCCACCAGAGAGGCCCCCTTGGTTTAGTTTGCATTCTCTTGTTGCTTGTTTCCTGTAGAAACATCATCATTCCTTCACTCGTTCATTCATTCATCCAGGGCTTATGCGGCTGCTACTCTGAACCCTGCCATGTGTCAAGTATTTATTTTCCTAGGAATTCAAAGAAAGAAAGAAACACGGTACTCCTGGACACAGACCTTTTAGGTGCTCCATGAATAAAAAACAAGTTTCACTTTTTATTCCCTTCCTTCTCTCCTCCTGAGCCCTGCTTCTTCTGGCAGGAGAGGCTGAGCCCAGGGCACTTTGGTGGCTAGTTTAAAAAAAAAAAAGGAAGAAGAAGGCCTGTAATTGTGCTGGGACCTTCGGAAATGCTAATGATGAAAGGCAGAGTCCGGCTCCCACTTCCCCTTCCTGTACAGTGCGGGTGTGGGGTGCCAGGGAGCTGAGCGGTCCTGCTAGGAACCCGAAACAACCATGGACCAAGAAGCCGTGGGCAATATCGTCCTGCTGGCCATTGTCACCCTCATCAGCGTGGTCCAAAATGGTAAGGGAAGCCCCTCCCTCGGGGTCGGCTTGGTGTCTCGGTGTTTGAGTCAGGCTTACACACTTGTGTGTTTGTGTGTGTATATGTGTGTACACTTTTTTCTTATCTGTATTCGTGTCTTTATTTGACTGTATAAGGATGCACACACTTCTGTGTGAATTGGGAGTTTTCCTTCTCCCCATCTTTCTTTGTCTTTAATGGGGATGATTAATCATGTCTGTAGAGCGGGAGCAGCAAGTTGGTTGTATAGAAACCATCACTGAAGTGTTTGCAATCAGCACTTTAACTATTAATTACTGTGGCCAGTTGGAGGGCAGGAAGCCTGAAAGTGACAATCAGATATATGTTCACCCAGACACTGGGTTATACCCAGTGCAGCAGGCTGACTTCAGTGCAGTAGGAGTTACCTATTACCTGTAGGCTAAAAAAAAATAAATTTGGCCAGTGTGAGGGGGGACTTTACTTTTTCATTATTTTACCTCTGTATTGCTTTTTTATTTCTTTTGATGAAATCTGTTCTTTGCAATACTTCCTTTTTCTCTAGCAATGTGTAATTTTTGAAGCATTCTTTGGTAGACATCATGTACTTACATAAAGGGAGAGAGGGTCAGAAGGATTTCCTTGTTTGCGGGTTGCATTTCCATTAACCCTGTGCTGTGCTGTGGTTAGTCGCTCAGTCGTGTCTGACTCTTTGGGACCCCGTGGACTGTAGCCCACCAGGCTGCTCTGTCCATGGAGATTCTCCAGGCAAGAACACTGGCGTGGGTTGCCATGCCCTCCTCCAGGGGATCTTCCTTACCCAGGGATCAAACCCAGTTCTCCTGCATTGCAGGCGGATTCTTTACCATCTGAGCCACCAGCGAAACCTAAGAATACTGGAGTGGGTAGCCTATCCTTTCTCCAGGGGATTTCCATTAACCCTGCTGTCACTTAACCCAGGCAAAGGACATAGAACTGAGAAAGGCAGGACAGGGTGGAACTTCTCTTTAAATTCCTAAGTCAGGACTGTCTCAGACTCTTTTTATCAGCATGGCCATATGTCTTTGGGCTTTGCACTTTATGAAGACAGAGAGAAAAAGGGGAAGACTTACTCTGTAACTTAATGGTATTTTCTGAATGTTCAAATACTGTTACACTTTGGAAATGTGGGTATTCACTCAGTTTGAGATATCCTGATATTTTCCCCCAACTTGAGTGTGGCCTTAGGTTGGTGATGAGCCTTCTGGGCACAGTAAGGCTCCCCATGGCCTCCCGGCACCAGAGAGACCAACTTTGCATACTCCAAGTCTGTTTCCTCTGTGGAACAACACTTGGCAGCTTTCTGACCCGAACATTTTCATAGTTAAGTGTCACACAACAGAGCCGTAGCTCTGAGAGGGGACGAATGGCTCCGGGTGAGGCTGCCGTGGCCCCAGGCCACTGCTGTTTCATGCAGGTGCCATGTTGGGGCTCTCTTAGTCTCTGTGAATCTCCAAAGGATCATTCATTCTACCTGCATACTTCCACAGGGACTCTGCCTAGTCCAGGAAGGGTCCTGCATCCATGGGAATGTAGCAGCAAACAGGGAAACCAGGTTCCTGCCCCCAGGAAACGGGAGGGTAGCAGGAGATGATGGGCGGGCAGGAAGCAGGAAGCCTGCTGTGAAGCCTCGAGTCCCCGTGGAGGCAGTTGCATGGGAGCTGGTTGTTCGGGTGCCCCCTCCAGCCCTCCCTGACATCCGTCAAGATTGGTGACAGGGACGGGAGCCAGGGTCCCCTCAGCTGCCCATGCAGAGGTTCTCATCCACCCTGAGCTGCTGGCCCCGGGTCCAGAGCTGAGTTGGGGGACTCTGCGTGGTCCCCCCGCCGTGAGAACAGTCTCTTCCCCTCCCCCGAGATGCCCTGGGACCTGGCCCTGGAGTGTTCGGTGAGTCCTGGGCTTTTCTGTAGAAGCACAAGGAACCCTGAGCAGACTTGAGGCGGACGATGAGATTTCTAATCATTTCTGGCAGATGAGATTAGGTCGTGGGGAGGAGAGAGGATCGATGGCCACATGTCTGAGCTCTAACCGCAATCTTTCGGCTAGCCATCTTGGATAGGTGACAACAGGACACGGTGGCCTTGCTGACACAGTCCCATGAGCTGATGACGCTTCCTGGGGGGGAGGGAGATGGGAGTGGACCAGCTCCTGCCTTGGGCTGGAGACTTTTCATCCTGGACACACTGTCGATTGGGCTGTATTTGTGGCGGTGTGGACAGCACGGCACCCACGTCATGGCCTCTGTTCTTCCCCTTCCCCGGCCCTGTGGGCAGCAAGGGCACCATGTGGACAGTGATTTTGCAATGGTTGGGGCAGTTTTGAAGCCACAGAAGGAGTCCTTGGCTCCCTTCAAAGTCTTAGGATCAGCCCTGCTTGCCTCTGAGGCAAAGAGCAAGGCTTGCTGGTCATTCTGAGACCACCTTTTAACTCTGTTCAATGTGCTGGTGCAGGGGAATGAGAGAAATTCAAGTGACTCGGGAGATAATACCTCTACCTGTTTTAACCTTGAGCTTTTAGGCAAACGCAAAGGTCCAACCGAGGTCCAGAACCTCCCTTTGCAATTCTAATTAACCTTGGAGTTGCAGCCAAAAGTCTACCTACCGTACAGAATGCAGAAAATATGCAAAAACTCTGCCCCCACCCCAGTTACATTCGAAACCCTTCCTGCTAGCTTTATGAATGATTTACATGCTGTTGCCAGGCACTGTGTACTTCATGTTTGTCCCAAGACAAGGAGTTTCGGCCCCTGTGTCTGTGACAGTTTGGGGGTGAGGGGGGCACGCTCTGGCTCCCAATTCCCCAGGGGAGAGGCAGAGCCCACCGACCCAGTGAACTTCCTCCTCTGTCTCCCAAATGCTCTGGAGTCATCAAGATAAGATCATTGAACCTGAGGCCCCCTCCCAGCTTGATCCAGCATAATGCACGTTTGGGAACGCAGACCCATGTTTAAAGTTTGAGTGGCCAGTGGGCGGGTCCCGGGGCTAGGCCCCGCGGGCCGCTGGGAGAGGCGGTGTCTGGGCTCCCGACGCTCGGCTGGAGGGCGGGGTCCGGACGGTGGTGTGCGGACCTTCGCGCAGGTGCCATGTGGCCTGTGCTTTGGACCGCGGTGCGCACCTATGCTCCCTATGTCACCTTTCCCGTGGCCTTCGTGGTCGGGGCTGTGGGGTACCACCTGGAATGGTTCATCCGGGGGAAGGAGCCACAGCCTGTGGAGGAGGAGAAGAGCATCTCAGAGCGCCGGGAGGAGCGCAAGCTGGATGAGCTGCTCGGCAAGGACCACACCCAGGTGGTGAGCCTTAAGGACAAGCTGGAATTTGCTCCTAAAGCCGTCCTAAACAGAAACCGCCCGGAGAAGAACTAATGGAGGACTCAGGGCCCAATGGGGCCTTCCATGGGCCATGGCTGGTCCTGCCACCACGTCGACCCAGCCCCAGAACCCATGTCTGATTTGCTTTATTGCTGCTTCTGGCCCCGCCCACACCCCCACAGCCGCGCACACACTGCCTCTGCTATGGCGAGGCAGACACGCTGGAAAAGGAGGGGCCAGTGAAGAGGAAGGCCTGGGAGGATTTGGCCTGAAGGTTGCCTCAGCTGGATGGTGGCCACAACTGCCTGGGCTTCTGCGCTGCTGGGCGCACCACTGCGGGGAGAGTTACGAAACGAACACTGGCTGTTAGTCCCGGTGGGAAGGTGGTTTGGCCTCCAGTGGGAGTGGCTGGGATTGGGGTGGTGGGAGAGTTCACAGATCTACCTGGCTCTCTTAACTAGCTTGCCCTGTCCTTTGTGCTCATTCTCCCTGAAATCCTGTCCTGGCAGCTCAGGGAGGGGATTCCCCTGGGAAGGAATGCTGTTTTCTGTTCTTGGGAGCCCAGACTGTTTGCCTTGGGGCAGGTGAATTAGCTTGAAAACAATCACCATCTTTAACCGCCCCGCCCCCATTACTGTATAGTGCAAAACTTGATTAAAGTGGTGTCTGAGAACCAAAATAAATAAATAAATAAATAAAGTTTGAGCAACCTGGACCAGAACTACCAAAGCCTGGTTTCCCAGGTCGTGTAGATGGATGCACTTCTTCTGCATAGCATCCAGAGGGCCTCCCACTTCTCGGCCAGGGTGCCAGCAGCTTTGACATGGAGCAAACCTGGGAAATGTGGCTTTGGATAAAATGATTCCCACGGGAAGCCAAACTAATTAGGTTGGAGGAGGAGAGAGTGAGCTGAGGGGAGGGACCCAGGTCTTTGTGCATGGAGACCTTGTGAATAGCGACAGAAGTCTAGACCACATCCTCAACAGCCCCTACTGAACACTCCCAGGATGGAGCGCTCACAACACACTGGACTCACTCTTCCCATTGTCAAGTGTATTGAGAATTTGCTTTGTGTCATGTATGGTGCTTTGCATTGGTCATAACATGATCTCATTTAACCCTTGCCCCCTATGAAATATTCTACCATTATTACTCTTATTTCACAGAATAACTAAGTGGAGGTTAGAGAGCTTAGAGAGTTAGTTGGAGATTCCAGGGTCAGTAGTGGTGAAACTGGGATTCAAAGCTACTTCAAAACATAGAAGTTTACATGACGTGTGTTGTCTTGGATTCATTCATTCAAACACTCACTGCTGGGTAAGTTCTCTGTTACACTGAACTGAAACTGCTGCCCTCTAATTTCTATCCACTGGTGTGTCTGTTCTTTGGAAAAGCTTAGACTGTGCCTGCAGCTTCTGTGTTTCCAAAGTCACCTGTAACATCCCTGGTTCAGCATATCATTTCTCAGCCAACTTGGTTTCCAGAGTCCCTAGTCATCGGATTACTCCTTCCCACCCCACCCACCACCAACTTGCCATCTTCTTTCTAAGATGCAGGTGGGTGTTTTTCATGCAAGAAATCTGTTCCCAAAATCCAGACACCAGTTCTGTTAAAATGATGGAGGTGTGAGCTATTTTTGTGTATCACAGGGCTGACTCATACTAAAAGAAAATCTCAGAATCTTTTTATGTGATCCTGAGAAAGTTATTCACCTTCTCTGACCCACAGTTTCCTCAACAGAGAGGTGGAGTTACTAATAACCTTCCACATGTGGTGGCTGAAGGTGTTGCCTGAGATAATACCCGAGTCGTTGGCAGAGGACAGCATGTGGTAGGTTCTTGGTGACCGTTTGCAGCCTTCTCCTCTGGTCTCTCTCTGTCCCTCTGGTTTGGCCTGATGTTAGCAGCCAGCCAAGAGCAGTGTGTGAATGCTCTCTGCATGCACAGTTTCTGTAACATGGTCAAGGATATGGAGTATGGAGTGTCAGTGTTTGGAGGAGTGGACAAACATGACCCAACTCTTTCAAGTTTAGCTTGGAAGGAAAGAGAGGTAGACCTTAGTGGGGGTTCAGGACAGAGGCAGGCTTGTTTTTGTTCTGTTTTGAGGTTAGGAGAGATTTGAGCATGTTTCAAGGGTAAAGATTAAGATAAAAACAGAGACCGAAGATTTACAAAGTAGGGCAAACATCAATGAACAAAAACCCAAAGAGGCTGGCCAAAGCAGGGTCAAGGTCGCAGGTGAAGGGCTAAGACTTAAAAAGAGGAAGGCGCTGTTCTTGGGCAAGGAGAGGAAGAAGAGAGGAAGGCTGAGAGAAGGAGGGCCTCACCATGCAGCTGGTTGCAGAAGTAACCTCAGACTTTCTTAATACTGTCCCTGCTTATGTGTTCAGAGGCATGGGCGTCACCTTGGGTTCTGGAAAGGCAGTGATCAGAATTTCCACTGTATTCTGTGGGGAGAAGAGACGTCCAGAGCAGACAGTTGGGTACTCAGACCCCAAATTGCTGATGGAGTCCCTGCAGAGAGCTTCTATGTGATAATAAGAGGATGAACACACTCTTGCATGCCCAGCTGGACTCAAATCCCAGCACTCCTCCCTGCTCCCCAGTGGAGGGACTGAGAAGGTTATTCAACCTCTCTGAGCCACAGTGCCCTTGTCGACAGCGTGGAGATGTACCGCCTGCTTCATAGAGCACGTGTCCGGCGTCCACCAGAGTGCCATCATGAAGCCAGCCCTGAGGCTCTGCCCGGTGTGGGCACAGTCCTAGGGGAAGAATGTGCTTTCATCAAAAAGCAAATCATAAAGGCTTTTATCCACGGACACAATGGATGAGGCAGGCATCCTTTTCAGCTCTTTTTGAGGAGGCTAATGTGAAGTTGATAAAAAGAAATCCTGTGAGTGGGATCCGTGACTGTCACCCTTCTTTTCTTTTTTCACTCTTGAAATAGGAGGAAAGGAATAAAATAGGAGGGGTGGGAGAGTGAGAAAGAGAAAGGAGGAAAGAGAGAGAGGGAAGGAGAGACCGCGTTCCCCCCTCCCCACCATCCAGCCTGTAGACAAGACAGACTCCGTCTCCCAGCATCTCTTCATCCCACAGCCATCACCCTAACCAGCTCCCTGCTGTCTTTCCCCCTGTCCTGGGTCTCACCCCTCTAAGCCCTCACCACGCTAAGACAGACTGGCTTTCTGGTGATGCCATTCATCAGCTTGCACCTGTCAGTCTCTCCACGTTTCCTCAAGATGGCAATAAGTGCAGAAGTTCTTAACGTGGCCCTCCTCAAGGTCATGGTCACGCTGCTGGTTTGAAAGCTACGTCCCTGCCACCATCTGCTCGGCCTTGGCTCACTCGCCACTTTTCCTTGAGGCTCCCTCTGGCCACGCTGACCAGCACCCCTGGAGGCCCCTGCCCTGCTCTGCCTTCGCGTTTGTCCACAGCTCGGCGCACCGTGTGATTTTAATTCTTACCTATTGTTTGCTGTGTGTGGTCTGTCTCCTCTCCTCGTATCCTCGCTGGAACATAAGCTCCTGAGGCCGAGGCTGTGTGTGTGTGTGTGTTGTTCTCTGATACAAGCTGAGTGTCTGGAACGTGGCGAGTGATAACAGAGAAATGGCATTGAGAGAGCAGTTCACCGCCTGCCTCTCTTTGGCCTCATTTGTAATTCTGCCAGGTTAATGCTCCCCATTACTGCCCCCCAACCCGCCCCGTCTCCCAGTAAACTGGATGTGCTAACCCCAGAGGGTCTTGTCGCTGGACCTCTGCATATTCCATTCCGATAGAGTGGTCTCCTCAGCTGTCCCCGGCCCCCTCCATCTGCTTGTTCTTCAGGTGTTATCTTACACGTCACTCCCTCTAGGAATCCTTCTGTGACCCAAACACTGAATTGTTACCCCTCTTTGACCCTCAATGGCTCCATGTTCCCACTCAGTCTCGGCACGAGTCTTTCTTTACTCGGGTGTCTATTGCTTCTGGTGGTAGCATCCTTGAAAGTGGGGGCGTGTCTTGCTCACTACTGCCTCACCAACACCAAATGTAGCAATTAGTCGAGAGTAGCTGCTAAATACCTTTGTGCTCAGTGACATTTGATGGAGGACAGTTAGGGCTGTTTAGAGGTCAAGAGAAGGAAACATTTAACATTCCAGGAAAAATATTAAGATGCCAGGCTCCGGATACGTGCTCATTATAAATCCAAACCTTTCCTTCTGGCAGGGTTCTTTGCCCACAAGGTGGAGCACGAAAGCAAGACCCACAATGGGCGGAGCTTCCAGAGGACTGGGACGCTGGCCTTCGAGCGGGTCTACACTGCCAAGTGAGTCCAAACTCTGACACTGCTCCTTGACCCAGAGTGGGCCTGGGACAACCTTCTGGGGGCTGGGGTGTGGTGGGCGGGGGTGGGTGGGTTCCAGGGAAGCTTGAACTTGACCCGGGAGACTTTGGGGACAGTTTTCATCATCTTAGCAAGGTGCTGGTGTTTGAAGAGAGGAAGCAAAGGTGTTGGGGGTGTGGGAGTAGACCTCACAGCTCCTGCTCGGTCAGGAAAGCTCTCTGCCAGTCATTCGGTCATGGAGTTGACCAATTTCCTGGGGGGTTAGTCCCAGGTGCCGCCATGCAAACCAGCCATTACTCACCAGCTGGCATCAGAAGCAAGCAGCAGGACTGGCAGGCGGCTGCCTGCTGCCCCACGGGCACCTAAGCCTGGTCTCCTTGAGTGACCAGGATAGAGAAATTGAGGGTACTATGCACTTGCTTTTCTATCTTTCCTTCTTTACTTCTTTTAGCAGGGAAAGGTTGCTAGAAAACACCTGAACAACTCAGGGAAGGAGGAGGGATGCTATTTGGGATGCAAATCTGAACGGTGTTATCCAAACACTCATTTTCCTCTCTGCCAAATGCATTTAGACAAAGGGTTCAGCTATCAGCCTGTGGCCTGCTTTTCCATGCCTGTGACTGGAGCCTTGTTAGGAAGGGCGGCTGTAGCCCCAAGCTGCCAGGGAGCTGGCCTTCAGTCTCGGCTTGGAGGTGACTTTGATGTTCCCCAGAGAGCCCTCTAAAACGGGGCTTAGGGCCACACAAGGAAAATTCTAGAAGGGTAGGGAGAAGTTGAAAGACATGGTTTTAAGCCATGTAAGACGTTCACATTTATAAGGGGGGGGGGGACTGTGTGTGGGGCACCCCCAGCCCTTCTGTGCTGTGTGCAGGGGGCAATGGAAAGGAGCAAAGACAGGGTGCTCCATTGGGGATGATGCCAGAACCTCCCTGAAAAATGGAATCCAAAAACCAGGAATCCTGTTCTACAGACAGACTGGAATGGGAAGGTTCTTCCCACCCAGATCACTGCATTCTCACCAGCAGCACTGTGCTCTTATGAACACAGCTGGTCAGTATTGGAGAAGTGGGGGCAGGGGAATTTCTCTGTACCCAGTGGGAAGCTAAGCTTCCATCTTGCCAGCAATGAGGAAGGGCCACAGCAGGCCAGGATGCCTGGTTTCTGCCTTTTCTTCCAGGAGAGAACCAGCTCTCCTTCTCAGAAGCTGCCATGGGACTGCCCTGGTGGTTAAGACTCGGCACCCTCAATGCAAGGGGCCCGGATCTGGTCCCTGGTCAGGGAGCTAGATCCCACATGCTGCAACTAAGATCCGGAGCAACCAAATAAATAAAAATAAAATTAAAAAAAAAGAAGAAGATGGCGAAGCCACCGCACTGACCTGCTCCCCACAGCCAGCCTCCGGATTGTGGAAGTGCCCTTATGCGGCTGGCCATGCTGTCGTTTGAAAGACAGTTTGGAAGTTCTGCAATGGCATGCGGTCCCTGAGGTCAGAAGATGCTAGAGGAGAGTGGTGGGCGATCAGTGCTGCCTGGGGGTCTTGACTTTCCTACTTACCCTTCAAGAGAGGGGAAGGAGACTGAGGGGAGGACAGCGAGCTGTGGAGAGGTCGGACCTATGGCGGGGGTAGAGGAGAATTTTCTGTAAGATAAAGGTCATCCAGACACTGCCGTGGTTCTGTTACAAAGACCACTTCCGCCCTGGCCAGATTGCAGCACCCTGTGTGTGCCCGAGGTGGGTTGTGGAAGGCTCTGCAGATAACGCAGTGGTTGTTACTGTCCACTGGCCATGCCCAGGGCCTCCAATCTGAGCGCCTCGGCCAGGAAACCACCAGGAAGAAAGTCATCCCCAGTGAGAGCTTCCCCAGGGGCCTCCAAAAGCACTCAAGAGGGGTGTGAGATGAGCCGTGGGGATGCGAGAAGAAGAGAACATGTATTTACTGTTGCTTTTCTATAGGAAATGAAGCTTCACTCAGTTTTAACATACACATTGAGAGGAGTGTGTGTACATAATCTGTACATAAATGTACCTGTCATAAGCTTATACCATCAAAAGTCTTGGTTGATGGAGTGTGGGATCGTAAATGTTTAGAGACCATAGAAAGGGAAGATAGCATAAAGAATAAATGATGCTGGTGGACTGAAAAGACTAATGCATGTTTTTCAGCATAAAATATGGCTGCGGACTGATACAGACCATTCAAGATTTGGGGGCTGTTGATAAACCAGACATCCCAGCCAGGTTATGCCATTAGTTCAGACTGGACTTCAGTTAATCGGCTTCTCTACCTCCTATCTCCCTTGAGGTCAGAGCTGAGTCTGATTTTGAGAGAGAAAAGGACCTTGACCCTCTTATCTTATGTCTAACACACATAGGTTGAAGCTCTGTTCCCAGCTGACGAGTGCAGGCAGAGCAGTCAAAGTTTGATTTTTGGAGAAAAGTCTCAGTTAAGGGACCTAAGATTCTTCCCCAAGGGTGCAGGTGAGCACAGACTATGGAGAGAAGATGGGTCTCTGGAGGTGTGTAATTTTCCAAAATGGGTCCCCTAGGTTACAAGTTCGTGGGCTGCTAACAGGTGTGACAGGGAAGCATATTTCCCACAGCAAGATTTTTGAGACCCTTTAAAGTGCTAAGAGACACTGTGATGCTTGGTTCTCCAAGAAGGGGAGGTCTTATTGAGCTACAGAAAACCCTCCTTAAAAAAAAAAAGCGTATCAAAGGTTTGGTGTCTCACAAAAATGCATTTTGGTAAATGACACCTAAGGTTTCTCCTCCCCTGCGCCTCTCATCCTAGGCTCACTTCTAAGTGGCCTGGACTTGTCCAATGATTTGAACGTGATCCATCTACATTGGTTCTATTGATTGGTATTGATCCTATTACTGTTATTAATGATATTTGCTTCATTAATTAATTAATTTAAAGTCTTATTGAAACAGAGTTGATTTACAACGTTGTGTTAGTTTCAAGCATACAGCAAAGTGATTCAGTTACATGCATGCATTCTAAGTTGCTAAGTTGTGTCCGAGTCTTTGTGACCCTGTAGACTGCAGCACATCAGACTTTTCTTTCACTATCTCCTGGAGTTTGTTCAAACTCATGTCCATTGAGTCTGCGATGCCGTCCAGCCATTTCATCCTCTGTTGCCCGTTCCTCCTCTTGCCCTCACTCTTTCCCAGCCTCGGGGTCTTTTCCAGTGAATTGGCTCTTTGCATCATGTGGCCAAAGCATTGGAGCTTCAGCTTCAACATCAGTCCTTCCAGTGAATATTCAGTGTTGATTTCCTTTAGAATTGACTGGTTTGATTTCCTTGCTGTCCAAGGGACTTTCAAGAGTTTTCTCTAGCACTGCAGTTCATAAACATCAATTCTTCAGTGCTCAGCCTTCTTTATGGTCCAACTCACATCCAACTCACATGACTACTGGAAAAGCCATAGGTTTGGCTAGACAGACCTTTGTTGGCAAAGTGATGTCTCTGCTTTTTAATACACTGTCTAGGTTTGTCATAGCTTTTCTTCCAAGGAGCAAGCGTCTTTTAATTTCACAGCTGCAGTCAGCACCCACAGTGATTTTGGTGCCCAAGAAAATACAATCTGCCACTACTTCCACTTTTTCCCCATCTACTTGCCATGAAGTGATGGAACCAGATGCCATGATTTTTATTTTTTGAATGTTGAACTTTAAGCCAACTTTTTCACTCTCCTCTTTCACACTAATCAAGAAGCTCTTATTTACTAACTGCTTCACCCCAAATGGTAGATCTAATAAGGGGCTTCTGTCCTTTGGAATTATTACTGTGTCCATAGGTCAGTGGAAGTTCTGGGTGTCCAGAACACCTAGTGAGTCAGCAGGCTTTGTTGGTTCCCCATGCCCACATTCCAGGACAGGATACATTGGTTTCTTATCTTTTCCACTTGTCAACTTCTCCAGTAAGGGATTTCTGACCATCAGAAAGACATGAAGGCCCCCGTGGCCAGGGACATGGCCCAGCCTCCCTGGAGGCTCTATAAGGTACAGACCAAAGGCTGGTTATTCCAGGGTTCTCCGTGGTACCAACTGAATCATGACACCCTATCAATTTGAAGGTTGATATTTAGGAGAAAAATCATGAGAAGCACATCAAGAAGCTGCCAGAGGAAGACTCTAAGAAAGGAATTTGGATAAAAGGCCAAATGTACTTTGAAGATTGCATTTTTTTTTTTAATACCTTTTTGGCTGCACTGCACAGCATGTGGGATCTTAGTTGACTGACCAGGGATTGAATCTGCAAACTTTGTATTGGAAGCGTAGAGTTTTAACCACTGAACTGCCAGGGAAGTCTGAAGAAAATTGCATCTTTGAGTTTACCTCTGTAGTTTGAATTCCCTTAGACCGGTGGTTCTCAAACTTGAGCATGTGTCAGAATCACCTGGAGGGCTCTTTAAAATCTTAACTGGGCAGCCCCCAGAATTTTTAATTTTGTAGGTCCAAGGAAGACATTAACATTTACATTTTTAAGAAGGTCCCTGGTGATTCTGGTGCAGCTGATCCAGGGACCACACCTTGAGAACCGGTACATTAGACCATCGACTCTTAGAGCTTAAGTGGATTTCAGAGTTATTCATTATTCGTCTCTTGGTTTTACCAGTAAGGAAACCAAGTCCAGAGAAATTGCTTTGCTAATGACAAACAGCTGGTTAATGTCAGGTTGGGGACCAGTCCTCATCATGTGTCCCTCCCGCTGTGTTGCATCGCCTTTCCCAGTTCATCCTTCTGTGTCTTGTTATGCTGTGTTTCCATGGATGTCTGGATAGATGGTCCTGATCTCAACTGAAGCTTTTCAAGAGGACACTCACTATTTAATTGAGTGCAGGCAGACTTCGTTTTATAACACTTCACAGATACTGGATACTGTGTTTTTCACCAGCTGAAAATTTGTGGCGGCCCTGCATCATCAGATGATGGATAGCATTTTTTAGCAATAAAATATTTTTCATTAAGGAATGTACCTTGTGTTTTAGACATCATGCTATGGCACACTTATTGGACTGCAGTGTAGCATAAACATAACTTTTATGTGCACTGGGAAACCAGAACATTCCTGTGAGTTGTGTTATTGTGGTGTTTGCTTCATTGTGGTGGTCTGGAGCTCAGCCCACGCTATCTCCAAGGTGTGCCTGTAGGGTTGAAGAGGTAATAGTCCTAGTTTTAGAGTCGTATTAAGTTCTGGCTTTGCTACTCTGTATCTGGGTGACCCTGGGTAAGTTATCTTCAGCTTCTCCTTGATTCAGTTTCTCATCTGAAACATGAGAAAACTGTGGTAGGCAGAAGAATGACCCCCAAAGATGTTCACATCCTGATCCCAGGAACACGTGAATAGGTTATGTTATGTGGCAAGGGGCAATTAAGGTTGTTAAGCAGATGAGTTTAAATTAAGAGACTATTTGGGGTTATCTGGGTGGGACCCAATGTCATTGCAAAGGTCCATCAGATGTGCAAGAAGAAGGCAGAAGAGTTGAGGTTGCAAAGATGTCATCAGCCATGGCTGGCTTTCAGGTTGAATGGGGCTTCGAGCTAAGGAACACAGGTGGCCTCTAGAAGCTGGGAAAGGCAAAGAGACAGAAGCAGTGCATCTCCAGAAGGGATGTAGCAACGCTGACATCTTCATTTTGGTCCATTGAGACTGACTTCAGACTTCTGACCTGCATTTGTTACATTTGTCCTAACCCTCTGAGTTTGTTTGTGGCTACTTGTCTCAGAAGCCACAGGAAACTCATGCAGTTACCACGTGTACTGGCAGGATTGCCATGAGCTTAAAGGAGACCAAGGGCGTCAGACTCCAGCTCGGGGGCCAGGACTGCGCCCTGACAAAGCCATCAGCAGGATAACTCCTCAAGTGCCACCTTTGCCTGATTCACCCTGGCTCCTGTAACGTGGGGGCTTGCCTGTCCTTCCTCAGCTTGGCCCACATGTCTGAGCTGACTTGTATGTCTGACCTGAAGGTCTACTTAGGTCCCTCTCTTGACCCCACCCTGACTGCCACCCAGCCCTGCTGTCCGCGTTACTCACTTTTCAATTCTAAGAAGTGCTTTGGCATAGCCAGGAGCAGGACCTCTGCCAAGGAGAATCCATCAAGAAATGGCTTCACCGGGGAAGGCAGTAGATGGATTCCAAGCTTGTATCTGCTTTACCCTGCTGTCTGTTTCTGGAGGTCAGAGGAATTATGAATGGAGTCCATGCCTTGTGAGATGTGCGTGCGTGTGTGCTAAGTCACCTCAGTTGTGTCCGACTCTGTGTGACCCTATGGATTACAGCCCGCCAGGCACCTCTGTCCATGTCCACCAGGCTCCAGGCAAGAATACCAGAGTGGGTTGCCATGCCCTCCTCCAGGGGATCTTTCTGATCCAGGGATCGAACCCACATCTCTTCTGTCTCTCGCGTTGGTAGGTGGGTTCTTTACCACTAGGGCCACCTGGGAAGCCCGCCTTGCAAGACAGGGATTATTATTTAGGGTTTCAGGTAATTTTCAGACTAAACTGCGGCCTCTAATTTTTTTCCCCTTGTTTATTTATTCTGCAGCCAGAACTGTGTGGATGCCTACCCCACCTTCCTCGTCATGCTCTGGAGCGCCGGGCTTCTCTGCAGCCAAGGTAACCCGGGCTTTTCTCCTTGTGTGTTCTCTCTCCAAAACGTGTGTCACCAGGAGGTGTGAGTGTAGGCTTTTTTGTTGAAAAGACTTTGTCTGCTCTCCAGCTCCAATTCACAAAGCCCGGGAGAGGTGAGACCCTCCAGAGGTTGTTTGCCAGCGGGCGGGGTGCCAGCGTGGGCCCAGCTGTAATGCATCGCTAATGCTGGCTCCCTGGTGGCTGGTTGAGAGCGGCTGCGCTGACAAGGGTGGTTTCAGGCTAAATGTGACTCAGAAGCCTTAAGCAGCATGAGCTCAGACACAAGGGCATTCTGAATGAGAGCGTGAGGTGTCTGTTCTGGGTGACCGTCACCTGGCTGACTGCTTGCTCATTGCCTTCCGCATGGTGCTCCTCCTTCCGGCACGGGTCGAGGTCTCCAGCCTCCCTGGTCCTCAGCAGCCCACAGTCTTGACTTCAGCAAGTTGGATTCCCAAAACTGATTTAAAATTAAAAGGAAACCGAGCAGTATTTTTGGTCCACTTTGGAGACTGGCCTTGTGTCTGTGAAGGTTTGGTGTGACCTGGCCGGCTTCCACGCTGTGGCCCAGCCATGCGAGAGAAAAGGCTGCTAGTGTCCTGTGATAGATGATTTCATCCTTATTGTGGTCACTCATGCAATAAAGTAGGTAAAGTGGACATTGTTGCCCCCTGTTGTTACTTTTGAGGATCTTTTGATTCAGGGAGATAAGTAACTTATTCAAGATTGCTCAGCTGGTGGGTAACGGAGCCAGAATGGACTCCCAGGGGTTTCAGGATAAATCCTGGGTTTTTCACATGTGTCCTCTTACTTTATTCATTTCCATAAAAATATACACTGAACACCTACTATGTGCCAAGCCCTGTTCCCTGAATATACAGCAGTAAATAAGATAGAGATGGTGGTGAAGCATACAGCAGTTGGCAAGATGGACCACAGAAAATAAATGAATGGATTAATTCGTTGCCAAGACTGAGACACACCATGAAGGAAGAGAATCAGGTGCAATGAGAGAGGAGAGAGGTGAAGGCTGGGAGCAGAAACCACTTCAGGAGCATGAGGTGATCCATAAGGCTGTCAGGAAACATGTCTTAATCTCCCACTTTCTATCCTCAGTTAAATAAGAAACATGTCTGGCATCACCTGAAAAATGAAGTCAAACTACACTTAGAGTAGGAGTTATGATTCCTTTTATGTCTTCTTAGATGATATTTGATAGAGATGAATCGAGTTATTCTGGTTGGATGAAGGGAGTTGAAAAGGGTTTCAGGGCCTGGAAGTAAGCATTTTCTGCCAAAACAAGTGTTTGGAGACAAAACTGTCAGTCACTCCTGCTCGGTGTAATAGTCATTTCCTATAAATATGGTAGTTTGGGTAATTTTTCAGGTGAAAGGAACACCAGCTTAAACCCATCACGTTACAGAGCAGGAGCCCAAACCTCAGGGGAACCTGCTCAAACCTGAGAATTTTAGAGCCTGGTTTTGAACACACGACATCTCTCCTGGTGTTCCAAACAGCTCAGGTCCACACCAGAGGCAGGCACCAATCCCCAAATACGGACGGTGAGTTCAGTCACTGTGTCCCCTGATTTCTATCAGCTCATATTCAGTTCAGTTACCGGTAACAGAAAGGTGGGCCAGTAAGTTAGTTCAGAGCCATCTGAAAGGGACCAACCAGGAAAAACCTTGTCCAAGGCAGCTGTGAATTGTCACAACTTTGAAACCATCAGAGAAGAGAGGATTGGAGACCCGAGTACCCGGAGGGCCTGGAGCACTACCTGACATATAACAAGTGCTCTGTTAATGCACTGTATTTGGTATTTGAATAACACGGGGGTGGGGGGCGGGTTTCGAAGAATTTTTATACCCATATTTCTGTTTCACTCTCATAGTAATCCCTGATAGGTAGAAAAAGTGTAATCAGCCCTTTGTCAAATGTATTAATAGAATGAGTTAAGCATTAGCTCCTGATCGTAACAGTCCTGATGGGGCTGGGTTTCTAACTCTTGGCTCCAAGCGTTCAGGACTCCATGGGGTTGTTTGGCTTGTGTGTTTTCCTCACAGGGTTGGAATGCAAAGGGCATTTCTTTCCCTGGAGATCTTTCCTAAACCATAGCAATTGTTCAGAAAAGATTGAGCATCATGATTCTTGGAGATCCACAGGTGAAGGGTGTACTTTGTAAGGACCGGTTTCAGAGTAGGGCTCCGGGAGCAAGTCTAGCTTTCCTCCTAGATACACACACACTCAGACACAAACACATGTACTTGCACCTACCAGCTGACAATCTTACACAAGTCCCTTGACTGCTGGAATCCATGTTTCCACATCTGGGAATAGAAAAGACCATACCAAGATTTCCCTGGTGGTTCAGTGGCTAAGGATCCGCTTGCCAGTGCAGGGGGCACAGATTTGATCCCTGTTCCAGGAAGATCCAGCATGCTGCAAGACAAGTAAGACTGTGTGCCTCAATTACTGAGCCTGCTCCTGAAACATGAGAAGTCACCACAATGAGAAGCCCACTCACTGCAACCAGAGAGTAGTCCCCACTTGCCACAACTAGAGAAAGTCCAGGTACAGCAAGAAAGACCCAGCACAGCCAAAAATACAATAAGTACCTAAAAAAGAAAAAGATGGTACCAGTCATGTGAAAAGGATTCCCATTAGATAACAGGTATGAAAAGACTTTGTATGAAACAACACTGTGATGCCAATGCAAGGTAGCATGACTATTCTTAAGGATCTCAGGAGGCTTCCTGTCCCTGGCTCTTTGCTGAACTCACGTCAGCCCCGACTGGCAGAAGCTGAGGCCTCTGCTTGATTTTGCGAGCAACACTGATTACCTAATGGCTATGTTAGTACTGGTTCACTTAGTACTTAGTTTTGGCGTCTAGGACACTAACACGGGCATTGTCCTTTCTCCTCTTAGTTCCTGCTGCCTTTGCTGGACTGATGTACCTGTTTGTGAGGCAGAAGTACTTCGTTGGCTACCTAGGGGAGAGGACTCAGAGGTAGGCCACTGGGACGGTTTAAGAACCATGGAGGGAGTGGCACTTTTCCTGCAGGAAGAGTGGCCTGTCATTCAACAATATTCCACTGACCAGGCAAGACCACGAGGTGTCGGATGGGGGAGGGCGACTCAATCCCCATCCTTTTTCCTCCTTGAACTTTGCTGGTTCTGGAAATACAGCCAGGGCCCTTGACTAGTTTTCCCATTAAAAAAAAGAACAACATTCCTCCACGTGGTGCTGGGCTCCCAAAGGATGCTTTAAAAGCACGCCTTGCAAAATCACAGCCTCTACTCCCACCCTGCCGCATCTGGGCCTCAAATTAAGTCCCCCTGTCTGGCTTCCCAAAGCCTGCCGAGAGTGAAGCATGCCATTGTCTGCCTAGGGGAAGGAGAACTATAGCATGCACCTTGTGATAAGTTCTCTTGAGTAACAGACATCGGGGACCCGCGGAAAGAATGTTAAGAAAGTCAAACACAATCACCAGTGGCAGACAGAGACAGTGTAGGCAACAAGTGTCCTTTCCTTAGACCTGGGTTGGGAAAGCCGGGTTTTAGTAAAGTAAATGATGATACTTAGAGAAAAAAGGTTCGAGTTACAGTTTGCCGCCAGTTCCAGAGCGATCAGAGTGGCTGATGGGTTCCAAGGGTGGGGAAGATGCTGTGGGGGCGGCTGCCCATGTGCTGCCCCCACGCTCACCACCCCCATTTCACTTCTTGTTCCTCTCCATGTCTCACAATAGCACCCCCTACCCCCCGTTTGATTCCTAGATTGGAAAGATCTGCTGGAGAAGGGATAGGCTACCCACTCCCGGATTCTTGGGCTTGCCTTGTGGCTCAGCTGGTAAAGAAGCTGCCTGCAATGTGGGAGACCTGGGTTCGATCCTTGGGTTGGGAAGATCCCCTGGAGAAGGGAAAGGCTACCCACCTCAGTATCGGACAGAGGAGCCGTGTGGGCTGCATTCCACGGGGTTGAGAAGAGTCGGACACAACTGAGCGGCTTCACTTTCACTTTCTGGTGGATAAAGCCGCCCAGTTCAGAGAGGCTCCTCCTTCACTTGATCTTAGCCAGAAAGCTGAGAAGTGATCAGAGAACCCTCTTCAGTGGCGACAAAGGCAGTGACATCCCTGGGGAAGTTGTCTGGGAAGGGTTAAAGCCCCAGAGAACCGCCTCCTTGAGGGGCGCTACACCTCCAGTCCTGAGAAACATCCTGCCCAGACCAAGAGCACCACTATTTCATTGGGAGGCACTCCTATTTCATCCTTCACCACAGATTTATCTTGAACACGTTCTGAAATAGCTTCACAAATCACTTTCCCTCCTTTCTGTAATGAGCATATGGTGGCCTCATTCATGTGATAAATCTGACTCAGTACAATATTTGACTTTTAACAATTTAATTTCTTTGAAGCCTCTATTCTCTGGCTGAAAAAAAAAAAATAAACTCCTTTACTTTCTTTCCACTTCTTTACCAACATTAGCAGGTAATTCTCTGTATTTGTCTTTAAGGCTGCCAGAACAAAGTGCTCCATGCAGACCAGGGGGTTTAAATAACAGGAATGTATTTTCTTATCGTTCTGGAGACTGGCAGTCCAAAATCAAGACAATGGCAGGGTTGTTCTTTCCTGAGGCCTCTCTTCTTGGCTTATACTTGGCCATCTTCTCCCTGTGTCCTCAAGGGTCTTCCCACTGTGTGTGTCTATGTCGTAACCTTCTCTGTAAAATGTTTTTTAAAATGCATTATTTATTTTTGGCTGTGCTCAGTCTTTATTGCTTCACAGGTTTTTCTCTAGTTGTAGGGAGCAGGGGTTACTCTCTAGCTGTGGTGCGTGGGCTTCTCATTGCGATGCCTTCTCTTATTCTGGAGCTCAGTTCAGCTCTGGGGTGCGTGGGCTTCAGTAGGTACAGTGCTTGGGCTCAGTACTTGTGGCTCCTGGGCTCTAGAGCACAGGCTTCAATAGTTGTGACACATGGGGTTAGTTATGCCACAGCGTGTGGGATCTTCCCAGATCAGGGATCAAATCCATGTCCCCTGCACTGGCGGATGGATTCTTTACCACTTGAGCTACCAGGGAAACCCTGCAAACCTTCTCTTTATTTATTTATTTTTTTATTTTTTTCTGATTTTATTTTATTTTTTTTCATTTATTTTTATTAGTTGGAGGCTAATTACTTTACAATATTGTAGTGGTTTTTGTCATACAAACCCTCTCTTTAAAAAAATTTTATTTATTTATTTATTTTTTTTCCATTTATTTTTATTAGTTGGAGGCTAATTACTTTACATCATTGCAGTGGGTTTTGTCATACATTGAAATGAATTAAACGTGAACCCCAAACAACAAAATAAATGGCAATGGGACCATACCTATCAATAATTACCTTAAATGTAAATGGGTTGAATGCCCCAACCAAAAGACAAAGGCTGGCTGAATGGATAAAAAAGCAAGACCCCTATATATGCTGTCTACAAGAGACCCACCTCAAAGCAAGGGACACATACAGACTAAAAGTGAAGGGCTGGAAAAAAATATTCCACGCAAACGGAGACCAAAAGAAAGCAGGAGTCGCAATACTCATATCAGATAAAATAGACTTTCAAATAAAGGCTGTGAAAAGAGACAAAGATGGACACTACATAATGATCAAAGGATCAATCCAAGAAGAAGATATAACAATTATAAATATATATGCACCCAACATAGGAGCACCGCAATATGTAAGGCAAACGCTAACGAGTATGAAAGAGGAAATTAATAGTAACACAATAATAGTAGGAGACTTTAATACCCCACTCACAACTATGGATAGATCAACTAAACAGAAAATGAACAAAGAAGCACAAACTTTAAAGGACACAATGGAGCAGCTAGACCTAGTTGACATCTATAGGACGTTTCACCCCAAAACAATCAACTTCACCTTTTTCTCAAGTGCACACGGAACCTTCTCCAGAATAGATCACATCCTGGGCCATAAATCTAGTCTTGGTAAATTCAAAAAGATTGAAATCATTCCAGTCATCTTTTCTGACCACAGTGCAGTAAGACTAGATCTTAATTACAGGAAAAAAATTATTAAAAATTCAAACATATGGAGGCTAAACAACACGCTTCTGAATAACCAACAAATCATAGAAGAAATCAAAAAAGAAATCAAAATATGCATAGAAATGAATGAAAATGAAAACACAACAACCCAAAACCTATGGGACACTGTAAAGGCAGTGCAAAGGGGAAGATTCATAGCATTACAGGCCTACCTCCAGAAACAAGAAAAAAGTCAAATAAATAACCTAACTCTACACCTAAAGCAACTAGAGGAGGAAGAAATGAAGAACCCCAGGGTTAGTAGAAGGAAAGAAATCTTAAAAATCAGGGCAGAAATAAATGCAAAAGAAACTAAAGAGATCATAGTAAAAATTAACAAAGCTAAAAGCTGGTTTTTTGAAAAAATAAACAAAATTGACAAACCATTAGCAAGACTCATTAAGAAACAAAGGGAGAAGAGCCAAATTAACAAAATTAGAAACGAAAATGGAGAGATCACAACAGACAACACTGAAATACAAAGGATCATAAGAGACTACTACCAGCAGCTCTATGCCAATAAAATGGACAACTTGGAAGAAATGGACAAGTTCTTAGAGAAATATAACTTTCCAAAACTGAACCAGGAAGAAATAGAAGATCTTAACAAACCCATCACAAGCAAGGAAATCGAAACTGTAATCAGAAACCTTCCAGCAAACAAAAGCCCAGGACCAGATGGCTTCACAGCTGAATTCTACCAAAAATTTAGAGAAGAGCTAACACCTATCTTACTCAAACTCTTCCAGAAAATTGCAGAAGAAGGTAAACTTCCAAACTCATTCTATGAGGCCACCATCACCCTAATTCCAAAACCAGACAAAGATGCCACAAAAAAAGAAAACTACAGGCCAATATCACTGATGAACATAGATGCAAAAATCCTTAACAAAATTCTAGCAAACAGAATCCAACAACATATTAAAAAAATCATACATCATGACCAAGTGGGCTTTATCCCAGGAATGCAAGGATTCTTTAATATCCGCAAATCAATCAATGTAATACACCACATTAACAAATTGAAAGATAAAAACCATATGATTATCTCAATAGATGCAGAAAAAGCCTTTGATAAAATTCAACATCCATTTATGATTAAAACTCTCCAGAAAGCAGGAATAGAAGGAACATACCTCAACATAATAAAAGCTATATATGACAAACCCACAGCAAGCATCACCCTCAATGGTGAAAAACTGAAAGCATTTCCCCTGAAATCAGGAACAAGACAAGGGTGCCCACTCTCACCACTACTATTCAACATAGTTTTGGAAGTTTTGGCCACAGCAATCAGAGCAGAAAAAGAAGTAAAAGGAATCCAGATAGGAAAAGAAGAAGTGAAACTCTCGCTGTTTGCAGATGACATGATCCTCTACATAGAAAATCCTAAAGACTCTACCAGAAAATTACTAGAGCTAATCAACAAATACAGTAAAGTTGCAGGATATAAAATTAACACACAGAAATCTCTTGCATTCCTATACACTAACAATGAGAAAACAGAAAGAGAAATTAAGGAAACAATACCATTCACCATTGCAACAAAAAGAATAAAATACTTAGGAGTATATCTACCTAAAGAAACAAAAGACCTATACATAGAAAACTATAAAACACTGATGAAAGAAATCAAAGAGGACACAAACAGATGGAGAAATATACCATGTTCATGGATTGGAAGAATCAATATTGTCAAAATGGCTATACTACCCAAAGCGATCTACAGATTCAATGCAATCCCTATCAAACTACCAACGATATTTTTCACAGAACTAGAACGAATAATTTCACAATTTGTATGGAAATACAAAAAACCTCGAATAGCCAAAGTAATCCTGAGAAAGAAGAATGGAACTGGAGGAATCAACCTGCCTGACTTCAGACTATACTACAAAGCCACAGTCATCAAGACAGTATGGTACTGGCACAAAGACAGAAATATAGATCAATGGAACAGAATAGAAAGCCCAGAGATAAATCCACGAACCTATGGTCACCTTATCTTTGACAAAGGAGGCAAGGATATACAATGGAAAAAAGACAACCTCTTTAACAAGTGGTGCTGGGAAAACTGGTCAACCACCTGTAAAAGAATGAAACTAGAACACTTTCTAACACCATACACAAAAATAAACTCAAGATGGATTAAAGATCTAAATGTAAGACCAGAAACTATAAAACTCCTAGAGGAGAACATAGGCAAAACACTCTCCGACATAAATCACAGCAGGATCCTCTATGACCCACATCCCAGAATTTTAGAAATAAAAGCAAAAATAAACAAATGGGACCTAATGAAACTTAAAAGCTTTTGCACAACAAAGGAAACTATAAGCAAGGTGAAAAGACTGCCCTCAGATTGGGAGAAAATAATAGCAAATGAAGCAACAGACAAAGGATTAATCTCAAAAATATACAAGCAACTCCTCCAGCTCAACTCCAGAAAAATAAATGACCCAATCAAAAAATGGGCCAAAGAACTGAACAGACATTTCTCCAAGGAAGACATACAGATGGCTAACAAACACATGAAAAGATGCTCAACATCACTCATTATCAGAGAAATGCAAATCAAAACCACAATGAGGTACCATTACACACCAGTTAGGATGGCTGCTATCCAAAAGTCTACAAGCAATAAATGCTGGAGAGGGTGTGGAGAAAAGGGAACCCTCTTACACTGTTGGTGGGAATGCAAATTAGTACAGCCACTATGGAAAACAGTGTGGAGATTTCTTAAAAAGCTGGAAATAGAACTGCCATATGACCCAGCAATCCCACTTCTGGGCATACACACCGAGGAAACCAGATCTGAAAGAGACACGTGCACCCCAATGTTCATCACAGCACTGTTTATAATAGCCAGGACATGGAAGCAACCTAGATGCCCATCAGCAGATGAATGGATGAGGAAGCTGTGGTACATATACACCATGGAATATTACTCAGCCATTAAAAAGAATTCATTTGAATCAGTTCTAATGAGATGGATGAAACTGGAGCCCATTATACAGAGCGAAGTAAGCCTGAAAGATAAAGACCATTACAGTATACTAACACATATATATGGAATTTAGAAAGATGGTAACGATAACCCTATGTGCAAAACAGAAAAAGAGACTCCTATGTATAGAACAGACTTGTGGACTCTGGGAGAAGGCGAGGGTGGGATGTTTCAAGAGAACAGCATTGAAACACGTATATTATCTAGGGTGAAACAGTTCACCAGCCCAGGTTGGGTGCATGAGACAAGTGCTCGGGCCTGGTGCACTGGGAAGACCCAGAGGGATTGGGTGGAGAGGGAGGTGGGAGGGGGGACCGGGATGGGGAATACATGTAAAAAAAAAAAAAAAGATACACTATGGTTGTGATAAAAAATAAATAAATAAATAAATAAATTTAAAAAAAAATAATAAAAAAATAAAAAAATTTTATTTATTTATTTATTTATTTTTCCATTTATTTTTATTAGTTGGAGGCTAATTACTTTACATCATTGCAGTGGGTTTTGTCATACATTGAAATGAATTAGCCATGGATTTACATGTATTCCCCATCCCGGTCCCCCCTCCCACTTTCCTCTCCGCCCTATCCCTCTGGGTCTTCCCAGTGCACCAAGTCCGAGCACTTGGCTCATGCACCCAACCTGGGCTGGCGATCTGTGTCACCCTAGATAATATACATGTTTCGATGCTGTTCTCTTGAAACATCCCACCCTCGCCTCCTCCCACAGAGTCCACAAGTCTGTTCTATACATCTGAGTCTCTTTTTCTGTTTTGCAAATAGGGTTATCGTTACTATCTTTCTAAATTCCATATATATGTGTTAGTATACTGTAATGGTCTTTATCTTTCTGGCTTACTTCGCTCTGTATAATAAAACTTTTTTTGGCTGCATGAGATCCCAGCTCGCCTGACCAGGGATCAAACCTGCATCCCCTGCATTGAAAGCACAGAGTCTTTTTTTTTTTAATTTATTTTAATTGGAGGCGAATTACTTTATAATATTGTGGTGGTTTTTGCTATACACTGACATGAATCAGCCATGGTTGTACACGTGTTCCCCATCCTGAACCCCCCTCCCACCTCCCTCCCATCCCATCCCTCAGGGTCATCCCAGTGCACCAGCCCCAAGCACCCTGTCTCATGCATCGAACCTGGACTGGCGATCTGTTTCACATATGATAATGTACATGTTTCAAAGCTGTTCTCTCAAATCATCCCACCCTCGCCTTCTCCCACAGAGTCCAAAAGTCTGTTCTTTACATCTGTGTCTCTTTTGCTGTCTCGCATATAGGGTCATCGTTACCATCTTTCTAAATTCCATATATATGCACTAATATACTGTATTGGTGTTTTTCTTTCTGACTTACTTCACTCTGTATAATGGACTCCAGTTTCATCTACCTCATTAGAACCGATTCAAATGCATTCTTTTTAACAGCTGAGTAATATTCCATTGTGTATATGTACCACAGCTTTCTTATCCATTTGTCTGCTGATGGGCATCTAGGTTGCTTCCATGTACTGGCTATTATAAACAGTGCTGTGATGAACATTGGGGTACACATGTCTCTTTCAGATCTGGTTTCCTCAGTGTGTATGCCCAGCAGCGGGATTGCTGGGTCATATGGCAGGTCTATTTCCAGTTTTTTAAGGAATCTCCACACTGTTCTCCATAGTGGCTGTACTAGTTTGCTTTCACACCAACAGTGTAGGAGGGTTCCTTTTTCTCTGCACCCTCTCCAGCGTTTATTGTTTGTAGACTTTTTGATAGTAGCCATTCTGATTGGCATAAGATGGTACCTCATTGTGGTTTTGATTTGCATTTCTCTGATAATGAGTGATGTTGAGCATCTTTTCATGTGTTTGCTAACCATCTATATATCTTCTTTGGAGAATTGTCTGTTTAGTTCTTTGGCTCATTTTTTGATTGGGTCACTTGTTTTTCTGGTATTGAGCTGCAGGATTTGCTTGTATATTTTTGAGATTAATTCTTTGTCAGTTGCTTCATTTGCTATTATTTTCTCCCATTCTGAAGGCTGTCTTTTCACCTTGCTTATGGTTTTCTTCATTGGAAAGCACGAAGTCTTAACCACTAGACCACCAGGGAGTCCCTGACCTTCTTTTTCTATAAGAACTCCGGTTATAGTGAGTTAGGGTCTACCTAGTGTTCTGATTTTACCATTATCACCTCTTTAGAGACCCTCTTTCTAAATGCAGTCATTCTGACGTACCGGGGTTTAGGACTACACCATAGGAATGTGGGGGCAGGGCGCACGCGAATTCAGCTCAGAACGCTCTTTTTGGGGACCATACTTTTTTTCCCTAACAAAGAGCTAGAATAGATCACTTCATGAGCAGGACTGTGAGCAGGAAACCAAGGAGAGAGGAACACACTGGCCAAGGAGCAGGGAGCTGTCAACTGGGGGTGCCTCTCAGATCCTGCTGTGCCTGCGAGTCCCATGGGGAGCTTGTCCACAGTGTGGGTTCTGACCCAGTGGACCTGGGTGTCTGCATTTCCAACAAGCTCCTGTGCTGTTGGTCCATGGAGCACTGTGAGGAGCGAGGAGGTTGGTACTCAGCTGCGAAACTATTTTCAAACTCTTGACACTGGAAAACTAGGAGTTGCATCATGAACCTTTGGGGTCCCTTTCAATAAGATAAAATTTCTAACATTGAACCTATGGATACTGCATTGTACTCTCTAGATTATAGCAAGCAAGGGCCAGGCAGCCTTAAGGTACCTGTTTAGATGAGTTGGCTGTTCTTGGGGAGCCCTCCTGAGTGCCAAGGAGTCCCCTTGCTGGGGTCTTTACTAATAGCCTTAGCAACTAACAGCCTTGGCGACCCAAGGGGCTTCCCTGGTGGCTTAGACAGTAAAAAAATCTGCCTGCAAATTCAGGAGACCCAGGTTCGATCCCTGTTTCGGGAAGAATCCTCTGGAGGAAGGCATGGCACCCACTCCAGTATTCTTGCCTGGTGAGCTACAGTCCATTGGGTTGCAAAGAATAAAACACGACTGAGTGAGTAACACTTTCACTTTTCACTTGGTGACTCACTTGGCTGAACTTTCAAAACATACCAGTGCTGCAGGAATGGACCATCCAGAGCCATCACAGAAGGATGTCATAGAGGAGGGGAACCAGGGCAGCTGCTGAGCATAGCTGTGTGGTCACGTGTCACTGGAGAGGTGCCTCCTGACTCCAGTGGATGCTCTGGGATTTAGAGCCTGTGAGAGAAGGAGACAAAATCATCCAGTACTGAAAAGTCTCCCTTCCTTGATTTGCTTCATATGTAAAGGCCTGCCTTCCAGCCCTGGAGGCCAGCTCTCATTAGTGGGAACTTGAGCTCCAGCCTCAGGAGACTAGATTGAGCCCTCGGATGCAAGAGCATCTCTTAGAATCCACCAGGCTTCTTGGTTCATGTACACCATCCTTTCTCATACAGAGGCCCTGAAAACCCTGCATTACACACAGCTGCCAGCATGGCTCTCACAGGTGCTCCTGAGAGGGTCTTCGTGAATCCATGGGTTCCTAATCCCTGGTCAGAACCCCGGCTACCAGCGGAAGCCACCACCTTCATGCCATCTGGGAGCTGGCATTCCCATGGTACAGAGAAGCCAGAGAGCAGAGCCCTGATGGTGATGGGTTTAAGGCTCTTTTTGCTTGGTTCTGAACTAGATTCAATGACTAATACTAGCTAAGACATATCCATCCTTTATATGAAGTAAATGGAGCATTCTTGAGTAAAAGGAAGTATCCTTTAAACCCCATGTATTTCAAAGCGATTATATTTTTTGTTAAATTGGTGTCATTTGTGCTGTTCTCCAGTTTTCTCTCTGCTTCCTTTCCAGCACGCCTGGTTACATATTTGGGAAACGCATTATCCTGTTCCTATTCGTCATGTCCCTCGCTGGGATACTCAACTATTTCCTCATTGCCTTTTTCGGAAGTGACTTTGAAAACTACATCAAGACCATCACCACCACCATCTCCCCTCTTCTTCTCATCCCTTGACTCTCTGCTGAATTCCGGGTGGGTGTGCTCAGCTAATCGATACCTAGAAGCCATCATAACTCAACCCTTTAAAAGAGGCTGTAAATCTAATGACCTGCTGGGCTTTGCAGCTTGAGTGAACCTCGCTTTTCCTGGAAGAGGAAATGTTCACATCAGCCCCACCCTCTGAACAAGGCTGTGGCCCCACATTTGCAAATGCAGATCCCTTCTGTGTGTTTCGTGACTTATCCTGCTTTCTGGAGACGTTTTGTGACCCAGTTTATGTTTTCCTAAAATAAAATGCAGGCATATGTTTGAGGCTGGTGGCTGAGTTTTGGGTGAGTATATTGCTACAGTTGAATAACTAGGCTGTTTTCCTCAACCTTAATGATGATAATAAAAAATATTATATCTACACACACACACACACACACACACACACTCCTGGAAGGTCACCAATGGTCAACTGGGAGTATCTCTGGCTGAAGAGATTTGGGATATGTTTTTTACTCTCTTATTTATATTTTTGCATATTATTTGGAAAATTTTAAGGAGCAAACAAATACCACTAAACAAAGTAACAGGACACAACTGAAGACTGCCTTTTCCAAGATGCCTTCCCTAACTCCAGATTGGTCTAATGTTGCCCTCAACCCTCCATAGCACCCTATGCACATCTCAACTGCAGCAAATTTATACCATGATGTCAAGCTGTTTCTTAGTCTATACCACTGGTCCCCACTAAATCATCAGCTCTTGAATACTGTGCTGTGCTCAGTACTTGTGGCCCCATGGACTGCAGCACACCAGGCTTCACTGCCCTTCACTATCTCCCGCGGTTTACTCAAACTCATGTCCATTGAGTCGGTGATGCCATCCAACCATCTCTTACTCTGTCATCCCCTTCTCCTCCTTCCCTCAATCTTTCCCAGCATCAGGGTCTTTTCCAATGAGTCAACTCTTTGCATCAGGTGGCCAAAGTATTGCAGTTTCAGCTTCAATGTCAGTCCTTCCAATGAACACCCAGGACTGATTTCCTTTAGGGTGGACTGGTTGGATCTCCTTGCAGTCCAAGGGACTCTTAAGAGTCTTCTCCAACACCACAGTTCAAAAGCATCAATTTTTCAGCGCTCAGCTTTCTTCATAGTTCAACTCTCACATCTATACATGACCACTGAAAAAAACCATAGCCTTGACTAGATGGACCTTCGTTGGCAAAGTATGTTTCTGCTTTTTAATATGCTATCTAGGTTGGTCATAATTTTCCTTTCAAGGAGTAAGCGTCTTTTAATTTCTTGGCTGCAGTCACCATCTGCAGTGATTTTGGAGCCCCCCAAAATAAAGTCAGCCACTGTTTCCACTGTTTCCCCATCTATTTGCCATGAAGTGATGGGACCAGATGCCATGATTTTAGTTTTCTGAATGTTGAGCTTTAAGCCAAGTTTTTCACTCTCCTCTTTCACTTTCATCAAGAGGCTTTTTGGAATGGAATATTACTCGGCCATAAAAGGGACGAATCTGAGTCAGTTCTAGTGAGATGGATGAACCTAGAGCCTGTCATACAGAGTGAAGTAAGTCAGAAAGAGAAGGAAACGGCAAGCCACTCCAGTATTCTTCCCTGGAGAATTCCATGGACAAAGGAGCCTGGTGGGCTACAGTCTGTGGGGTCTCAGTGTTGGACAGGACTCAGCAACTAACACTTTCATTTTCACACATCAAAACAATAATCTTGTGGATGCAGCTGCTGCTGAGTTGCTTCAGTCGTGTCCTACTCTTTGTGACCCCATGGACTGTAGCCCACCAGGCTCCTCTGTCCATGGGATTCTCCAGTCAAGAAAACTGGAGTGGGTTGCCATGCCCTCCTCCAGGGGATCTTCCCAACCCAGGGATCAAACCTTCAGCTCCTTTGCTTCCTGCATTGGCAGGCAGATTCTTTACCACTGAATCACCTGGGAAGCCTAATATTGTGGATATGTTGTGTTAAATAAAATGTATTAGTAAAATTAATTTCACCTACTTCTTTCTAATTTCCTTAATATAATGATTAGAAAATTTTTAATTACATGTGTAACTTGCATTGTATTTCTATTGGACAGCACTGATCCAGAGGTTCTGTGGGTGCCAGCAAAATCCCCCAACTGAAAAAACTGCTGGACCTTACCCCAAGCACGTGTCTCTGGGTAATGATTCCTGCAGAGGATACTGAAAAACACGCTGCTAAAATTGTCACAAGAAGCAAATGGATCCTGCCTAAATCGGGGAAAGAGTTCTTTGAAGCTTGTTACCATATGATCATCAGAGTGTTTCATTAAGTATTTCTGATCACAGATGTGGTGCATGATTAAAATATCATTTTTCTGGTCACCCTAGAGGCGAGGGTTATCTGAATATGGAGAGAAAAACAGCTTGTGGAGCTGTTGTATAAATGAAATTACTAGAAAGCAGTGCACTCGATTGCATATTGGCTTGGGGGCTTACTCTTATTAAAATGTTTAGATAGCAGTTTCTGTTCATTTCTGCAGAATTGCTCTCCAAATTAAAAACTTGGCTTGGCACACCAAAAGACCAGAGTCCCAGGAGAGGTTTATCCTCCTTTTTCCTTGTTATCCTGGCCTAAGCATTTCAATGCTGGGCTGATAGGTAGTGCAGATTGAATGTATGCAGCAAATGTATTAAAATTTACTGCAGCCCCTCAAATTGGCACATTCCCACTTGCCTAAAAGAAGTCAGCACAGGCTTCAAAGAAATCAGAAAGCTCTATCTATAGAAAAGCAACAACTCTGTCTCCCTTTGGATAATTTTTGAAAACAATTTTTAATGGAAATTGGCCTTAATGGTTGAAGAAATTTGCTGCAAAGAATGGACTTGCTATTAATAGATTGGAAACCATAAACCTAATGAAAGCAAACACAAGCCTTCTCAGAATTCCTACTAATAACTGCTTAGCCAGTCAACAAGAGGGCAAAAGAATGAATATTTGGTGTGTGATTACTTGATTCTGTATGTATATGTTCGGGTTCTCAGCGTCAATGCTATGGCCACCTGGATGTGGCCATAGCACCAACTAGAAAGGTCGATTCTCACCTGGAGCCAGGAGACCACGGCCCCTGGACACACAGCCTCCCTCCCCCACCCCAGTTATATACTCACTGATGCACCCAGCCAGTGACAGATGAAAAGAGTGCTGATGGCATGACTGACGCCGAGATGCTTGTTATTTACAGCCTCTGGAAAAGGCTGGGGTGGGGAGGGTTGGAGGGAAGTGTGTGTGTATGTGTGTGTGTGTGTGTGTGTGTGTGTGTGTGTGTGCCTGCGTGCGTGCCCAATAAGAGGAAGAAAACCACAATAGCATTCTGTGATTCAGCTGACACATCCTTTCCGTCACCCTTTCAATCACCTGGTTAATGGGGACCACGGAGAGCAGAGTTAATGAGTGACCCTCGTCTCATGTTAACCCTCTGTTTCAAAGCCTTACTTTCATGAGTTCTCTGCCTTCATTCTTCCCATGTAGTGGGGCTGTTACTGAGACAGGAAGTGGGTCTCCAGGAAGCTGAGAGTTGCTTTTCTGGAATGTTCCACGTTTCCTCAGTGAGGGATTCTCAACAGGCATGTTATCATGAAACAAGTCAAATAAATCTCTGAGCACAGGGCCTGACTTTGATAAAATGCTAAAAACAAACAAACAGATATATACATAAGCCATTCTTTGTTACTCTTTTCACTCTGTTTATTGTTCTGTTGGAAGATTTGAAAGCATGGCACAGAAAAACTCCTACCATTTAGAGATGTCAGTGTTTGGTTCATTCAGACCTGAAATAGGAGAAAGGAGGAAAGAAATGCCATCAAAAGATAGGAGAGAAAGGAAAGAGAAGAAAGAAAAAAATCAATATAAAACGAAAATGTTAAGAGACACTTTAAAGCATTTGAGGAATACAGAAAATGTTGCTGAGAGTCGTTTGTGCTTAGAGCTTCATGAAACACCCAGGGAATAGATACTGGTGTAACAGAGACTCTTAGTCTCAAAGAGCCTACCTTTTATTTGGGGGAACAGAATTGTTTATGAAAAGGTGGTCCATAGTTTAAGCTATAGTGGGTAGGATCAAAGAGGAGGTGGTGACTGCTGTCCCAAATAGTCAGGTTAGGGAGGAGGGAACCCAGGAGGACTGCCTGTGGGTTTGTTGGGGGGAATGGTGCTCTGCTCTGAGGTGAACTAGAGGATCCACAAGCCATCAGCTTACCTGGATATGTCTTACCAGACCCTGGAGATTGGACTCATCTAGTTTTACAGAGTAGCTATGATCTAAGATGTGTATATATTATGACAAACATGAATTGACATATTATGTGTTAGGAATGCAAACTTTTGTATGAGTTCTTAACATAAGACACACAATTTGAAAGCAACATCTTCTTTGTACTTGAGTCACCCTCCTCTGTAGTTTAAGGAGTCTATAGTGGAGATGTTTGAGAGACACTGGTCTGTGAACACAGGGAATCAGCAGAGATATGAGTAAACCATTGTGACCAGAGAGAAAGATTTCCTGAAAGGAAGGTTCATGGGTTAGGTCGTGGAGACTCAGTTGCTAGAAAGTCTGTGGGATTTGGATGATCTCAGAGAGCTGTTGAAAGAGGGTTTTTTTCTTTTTTGAGAGAGAGAGGGAGGGAATGATGTCTTGTGCAGAGTTTTAATAGAATAATCTGGCTGCTTTGTAGAAGACAACTTGAAAAAAGAACCAGCCAGACACGGGAGGAGAAACAAGCTGGAAATAATCAGTAGGTAAGGATATCAATGGACTTCCCAGGTGGTGCTAGTGGTAAAAGAACCTGCCTGCCAGGGAAGGGAGACATAAGAGACTCAGGTGAGATCCCTGGGTTGGGAAGATCCCTTGGAGGAGGGCAAGGCAACCCACTCTAGTACTCTTGCCTAGAGAATCTCATGGACAGAGGAGCCTGGTGGGCTGCAGTCCATAGGGTCATGCAGAGTCAGACAAGACTGAAGCTACTTAGCACACACACACACA